CTTGAGCATATCATGAAGATGGTGTAGGACCAGGCAACGTTTTGTTTTGTTTCTTTTCCCATTGTACATGGAGTTGTTATGAGATGGCACTTATTTAAGGGCTAATAAAAACCTATCTATCTTTAGCCCCCAAACAATCTTCATTGGTTTTCATCACCCCAGGATTTTTCTGTCTTACGTAAGCTGGCCAGCAGAGTACATTATAGGAAGGAGTTCTGGCATGTAGCAGTAGCCTAACTTCCATGAATGCAGCCAGTGATGGGAATCATAATGCAAGGTGGCAAATCAGTGAGGAAGTATCTCTGTCTGAATACACACTCAGAGTTTCATCAGGGAAATAATGGGAAATGCCTGTCTACACAGAGTCAACACTGTTAAGAATTTTCCCAAATTCTATATGCAAAGTGCTACTCTCATATATAGTCTCTTAGGGACCTTAGTGCATTTCAATCAGATTCACTAAGGCCTTCTCAATGATGCTTTAAAAATGATTCTGTTTTTGTTGGAGGGCAATTAAGAGAAAATTTCCTGGAGAAAAATATTGGAGGTTAATTTTCTTTTTTTAAATTTGCTGTCTAAAACTCAACCAATCATTATTTTAGCCACAGAAACAAAATATGAGAGGCAAAGAAATTCCCAATAAAAATAAAGTAAAAGAATTTAGTTATTATATCAACTAGGAGCTCTGGTAGCATAGTGGCTAAGGCACTTGACTGCTAACCAGAAGGCTGGAGGTTCAAACCCACCAGCCACTCCTCGGAAGGAAGGTTGGGCAATCCTACTTCCGTAGTGATACTGCCTCGGAAACCCAAGGAGGGGTCGCTATGAGTCGGGGCCGACTCGATGGCAAATAACAACAACAACAACATCAACTAATGACTGACATCTAGAAGTACATAAGGAATTGGTTAATTAAATTGCAATTCTCCCAACAACTTCGTTTGATAATTTACTCAAGATTGTTGAAGTCTCCAATGACTAGAAGAGGGCAATAGACTTAAAGATGAAGCCAAAGGATTGTGGTTATGTATTATGAAGTGATATTTGCTATGAAAGGAAATTCCACACTATTTTCTGTCTCTGATTTTTAACAATTGCATAGTCATTAAATTGTTTGTTTAGTTGATTTGATTGTGGAGATACCTAAGAAGGCTTTCTTGTACGTCATTGTTTTGGAAGCTTGGTCCTTTGTGGTTGTATTCTACAAGTAGATCAAAGCACATTTTCAGTCAAATTGTTGGGGTCACTTTCTCTAACTTACTTCTAGGAGACACAGCTTCAGGTAAGGAGCGTTTATTAGACAACATGGAAATTCAAGCCCAACTATAATCCTGAGATACTAGGATGCTATGGCACTGGGATCATCAGGGGAAAATGTTTCACATTTTCATTTTTAAAGTTGCTGCTGCTTTTAAGTTCAAAATGTGAAACATTTCCCCATGATGATCCCTATGCTATAGAAGTAAGATCTACTATGATCACATTCTTTAGTAATTTTTAATATTAATTTTTTTAATCCACTACATTTTACCACATTCAAACAATGGTTACGCACCATCTAATTCATATTACATGTTGATAGAAATTCAAATTGTTTCAGGCAAAGATGCTTTTCTTGCTGCAATATAAATCTGCTAACAAATGAGCACAGCAGTTGATAATGTTTGTGCCTTTAAGATCATAGTTCAAAAGAATTAAGCAAACATGATAACAAAGGGAAGTCAAACATAACCTTTATTCACCTTCAACAACCCAGAGAAGGGGGTTGGAACCATATTTAGTATTTTAATCAGAGTACCTTAAATTTCATATTCTCATTTAAAATTTTATAGCAACAGACTGACTATTTTAAAAATGTAGCAATGGACTGACTATTCCAAAAATGATACTGAAATACATTGTAGCTCTAAGCATGGAGTTTAGCAAACAAAAGGTAGCAAGCTCTCTTATCCAACAAAAAGGACTGAGCTAGTGAGCTCAAATACTCATCATAAATAAAAATTATATACATATAATGGCCATGTTTCCAGAGCCTGAAATCACAATATACAATCTGACAATTGTGTCACATTCAGGAACTGTAATCACTAAAATTTTGGGGGTTTATGTATAATGGGACAGACTCTCTTAAATCTCAACTGTCTCTCACCATCTGGAAACATGCATGGTGGGTGTCAATTATTAATTTTCATAGAACTAGAATACAATCAAAATCAGTGCAAACTACTCATTGTTGTTGTTGTTAAGTGC